ATTTGGCAATTATAGAATTCCTTCTTGGGTTTCTATAAAAATACTGATTGGAGGGGAGGAGGAGAAGATGTCAGCTATTCATGACAACCTTGAAATTATAATTCAGAGTGCTCCTTACGAACAGCTTGTGCTAATTTATGGCTGATGCTGTTAGACTCGAGATATGTAAACGGAGGGAACTCACAACCAAAAAAAAGCTGTTGTTGTGAAATTACCCAATCTTATTCACTTAATATTACAAGACAGCCGGGCTTGCTGTTTTCCATTCATTCCCTCCCCTCTTGAGGATGGAAAACTAGGCTGGCTCAAAAGGCTTTTTGACCCAAAGCACTTGGGATCCACAATTTGCTTTCATGAAAGAGTCTTTTGAAAGAAATATGGAATTATAGAGGTATGAAAGCAGAGAGAAATAAAGACACCAACTTGTTGGAGATTTGGAGTTAGGGAAATGGATGAAACACAGTCTTTTCTTCCCTTTTAAGAGAAATGGGCAAGCTGAACTTTACATTAAAAAAAAACCCATTTTCTTGGAAGGTATACTCACATCCTAAGTCACGCTAATCAAACTGAATTTCACAATCACGATTATTTCAAAGTAATCTCTCCACCTAAATCCCCCGTTGCTATTCCAACATTACTTGAATTCCCCGTATCCCCAACAGGAGCTGACAGATGAGTAAATCACAGCCCCATTTCAAATCAGGGAGAACAATTGGTGGATGCTTTTCTCATTGGCAAGAAAATCTACCAAGTGCTGCACCTAATCTTGCCTTGGAGTAAACTATTAAGACAGCACTACTCACCAGTCTCCTCAACAAAGCAGAGTTGAAATTGGCTGTGTAGACAGAGCATATTTATGCTGGTATTTTTGTGCTGCCTCACAGAGCACAGTAAATTAGACTGACTATTTAGATATGCCCTAGGATTGAATAAGAACTTCAACAAATACACCGCCATCCAGCGTTCAAATAATTTCCAGGGTTGAGTGGAGTTCTGAAACAGAATATTTCATTTTAACTTCTACTCACCTCTTGTATTCAATGGGATATGACTAAACTACTCCTAATCTCTGCAGATACACAGCTGTTATTTGTCAATATATGACATTATAAATGAAAATAAAAAATAATGTTCTAATCAATTCTTACTCATTTTGGGATATAAGCTCAAAATGAAAAATCAAATGCTGAGCAGTCATTATTAGTATTATTCTGGAAATGAGGCTTCATAGCTGCAGGAAAAAACAGACGTAGGAAACTATTTTAGTGATTTAGAAATTGCACGATTCTTGACATTTTGAATACTTAGAATTAGAACACAGGAGGGCTGAATGGAGAATTTTAAGGGTGGAGAGCCTAACTGAGGCATTCAAATTCACAAATCTCAGATATGGCCTTCCTGCAAAGAAGATGTAGCGTATTCTAATTCCATTTAAATCAATATGTAGAAATATGTCAAGGGGATAAATCATGCCTCCTCCTTATCCCAAATGCAAATAACATTACTATTTATGCCACAGAACCTGGTGACCAATCTCAAAACAGCCGCAAGGAAATCCCCAAACAGCTGTCTACCCACATTTCAACTACAAGAGTTTGGAGCAGTATCTCAACCTGACAACTCACAGTATTCCCCAGCCAGCATGCTCTAGATCAGGGCTTTTCAACCAGTGGTACGGGTACCACCTGTGGTACGTTGGCACTGGCAGATGGTACGCGACCATCCTAGGTGGTAGTAGGGGAGGGGAATGAGCTGAACCGATGGCAGCACCGCACAAGCCTGAGCGAGAGATGGCTGGAGCTGCAGGGCTGTCAGGGCTCAGTGGAAGTGCCAAGATCAGTGCAGACTCCAGCTGGAGCTCAACGCTGATCCTGGTGCTTCTGCTGAGCCCTGAAGAAGCACCAATCAGCTAAAATGTTGCCTTATCTCCAGGGTCTTGTGATTTACACTCAGATGCGTGGCAACTGATTCATATTTATGGTGGTCACAGTGTCCCAGGGTCAGTTGAAGTGACCAAAACCTGCTGCAAACACCCAGCAGACAGGGGAAATAAAAACCAAACGCCCCCCCCCCACTCCTGCTGCCAATCATCAACAGAAATGCTCACAACAATGAAAACCCTGTACAGGAGGAAGAGTGCCACTGGGTGGGCAGGCGTCTTGCTTGGCTGTGGCTTGGGGGGGCACTTTTTTCAGTGCCATTGTAACTTCGAACAGTCACTAAGCGAACTGTTGTAAGTTGAGGACTATCTGTACTTTATCACTTTTTTCCTTTTTTGGGGGGGGTCATCAAGTTTTTGACACCTTGCTAGGCGACTGGTGGTACTCGGATGTTGCCATATCCTAAAAGTGGTACAATGGGTGAAAAGGTTGAAAAGCCCTGCTCTAGAACATTCCTGATGGAATTACTTAGCAGAGAATCAGACCCTTTGCAGGCAGGACTAAGCTAATACCTTTCTTTCAGACTTCCAGCAAGGGAGTCCAGGCGTGGATGCATCAGATCCTCCAGATCCTCTGGAGCTTACCATTTGGTGCTCATCTTAAATTCAAGTAGGAAATTCTGTCTGCATCATGCTGTGAACTGTGGCCCATCTGTTTTTCTGCGTCTTTTCCCAAGCGCTCTTTCTCCCAAGTGCCTTGAACTGAATCATCTCACTTCTGGGAGTTCCCTGGAGTGCTGCCTTTCTATTTTCTTGTTGGCAGAGCATAAGCATAGTCTACACCCAATGATTTTTCCGAATAGAACAGAACCATGTTGCATGCAGCTGTTTTTGTATTCAGTATGTTATTGCTCCCTTATTTTTCTGGCTGAGATCTTCTCTTGCTGTCCACCCTGGAAAGATCTGCTATAGATTTCCTTTTGTTTGGATGGTTTGTTTCAATTATCGTCCTCAGGGGATTGTGCTCCTGTTCCTGTATCTTTCAGTTCTAACTGTGCAAGTTGCCCTTTACTTGCCACTGATACTGGAGGCATGTGTTCTAGCTTTATGAACATTTAGAAAAACAATTTAAGAAATTTAATTTCAATTTCCTCATTGTATATGACTGTGGATAGCTTCAAAGGTTAAATGAACAAATGAAAGTACCCTTAATGGAATAAACCAGGGCTTTTCAACCAGTGCTACGGATACCACCTGTGGTACATTGGCACCTGGCAGGTGGTACGCGACCACCCTAGAAAAGTAGCGGGGGAGGGGAGTGAGCTGAACCAGTGGCAGCACTGCACAAACCTGAGCGAGAGATGGCTGGAGCTGCAGGACTGTCAGGGCTCAGCAGAAATGCCAGGATCAGTGCTGCTTTCCAGCTGATCGGCGCTCCTTCGGGGCTGTCAGGGCTCAGTGGAAGCACCAGGATCAATGGCAGGTTCCAGCTGGAGCTCAGTGCTGATTCTGGTGCTTCTGTTGAGCCCAGAAGCACCAATCAGCTGGAAAGCAGCACTGATCCTGGTGCTTCTGCTGAGGCCAGAAGAAGCGCCAATCAGCTGAAATATTGCAGCATCTCCAGGGTCTTGTGATTTACATTTACATGCTTGACAACTGATTCATATTTATGACGGTCACAGTGTCCCAGGGTCATGTGAAGTGACCAAAACCTGCTGCAACCAGCCAGCAGATGGGGGGGGGGGAAGTAAAACCAAACACCCCCACTCCACCCCCGCTGCCAATCCTCAACAGAAATGCTCACAACAAAGAAAACCTCAGAAAGGAGGAAGAGCGCCGGCTGGGCAGACAGGTGTCTTGCTTGGCTGTGGCTTGGGGGGCACTTTTCTCAGTGCCATTGTAACTTCAAACAGTCACTAAGTTGAGGACTACCTGTACTTTATCACTTTTTTCCTTTTTTTTTTCTGGTCATCAAGTTTTTGACACCTTGCTAGGCGACTGGTGGTACTCGGATATTGCCATATCCTAAAAATGGTACAATGGGTGAAAAGGTTGAAAAGCCCTGGAATAGACCAATTGTACAACATAAGCTTACATATCATATATTAAGGTTCATAAATAATGTTGGAGGATGATGATGATTATGATAATGATTATGATAAGGTGGAGGAGGAGGAGGAGGAGGAGGAGGAGGAGGAGGAGGAGGAGGAGGAGGAGGGAGATGGAATGTATTGTCCTAGCCACTAAGATTTCTATGCTTTTGTTATGGTTCAGAAGCATCTGGCTGAATATTTGTTGAGTTGTCAATTAAATATGCATTTCTTTTATTAATGTTCTATGTATGCACTTTCTGCTTTTTCTGCCATGCTGCATACCACTAAATGCAACTTCACCTCCCCAAAAAATTGCCTGCTCTTAGCTTTTAAATTTATTTTTGGAATTGTAAAAGCTACACACTTTACTTTTAAAATAAAAATGTATCATTTTTCTATACAGATTCAAAACTATGCAGAGCCACACATTTTTTTTTTCACTTTCAGCTGAAAGGAACCTTTTGCAGGCATTTTACATGCATCTTTGAAACAAAATCTCTGATGTCCGAGATTCAGTGTTTTCAGAACTAGATTCCGCTTCTGTGGCTATACATACATCTGGCAGGGTGGCTATTCATTTTGGCCACTAATGGAGCCTTTGGGACTCATCCTTTCATCCGTTTTGACAAGAACTGTAATTGTCCGCAGCGAGTTGGAGAGCTGATTTAGCAAGTGAGCTAATTCTATAAGACAGGCCATCCATTAGTTATGGGGCTTTGTACCCATCCATAAAACTCCTTTAGAAAGTCTTACCGAAACATTTGCGGGGTGTGTGTGTGTGCAGAAAATCGGGTTGCCCTCTTTTAAAATCGGAGCCACACATTATTTAAAACTTGGCTGCCGTGAAGGCGAAACTGAAGAAAAGAGGGGTGCGCAAGATCTATCGAGCGCACTCAGGCCTGTCCCCTGAGTCCACTGGACTCTTCGCCCCCCCTTCTCCCCCCATCGTGCCTCGGCCCGCGTGAAAAGCCTTTCTGTGCTTGTGCGCGCCGGGAAGGAGGCTCGACTTTTCCACAGGCTGTGAATGAGGAGAGAGGGGGGGGGTGCGAGGGCCTTGGAGGAGGGAGCTGAAGAAGCGAGCGCGAACGACTGGCTGCGGCTGCTTCTCCTCGCCTCCCGCCCAGGGAGGCGGATAGACAAAGGGGGCGAGGGCGGCAAGCTGACTGGAGCTCCGCTGCCTCAAGGTCACTCGCGCCTGGACAGAAGAGGAAGAGAGGCGCGCGGACGTTGAGGCGCCCTTTCCTCGCCCCCTTCCCTCCGCCCTCTGCCTTCCCTCCCACTTTGCGACCCCCGGTTTCACCTAGGCAGCTGCCGAACTTCGCACCAGCGCCTCTCCATTTCCCGCCCCTTTTCCCACCCCTACCCATCCCCGTGCGGTGCGTGCACGCCGGCGGGCTGCGTGAGCTTCGCTTAGGCTCTGCCGAGAGTCCCTCAGGCGCGAAGCCGCCGAGTCCGCGGGGCAGGCGCTGCCGCGTCGCTTTTCTTCGTGGTGCGGGCAGCCCTCTCCGCAGTCGGAGAGCCCCGGATTTATGGAGGCGCCGAAGGCTGCCGCGTTTTCGTCGCCGGGCTGCCGACTCCGACGCAACCGTTTGGGTGGCGCTTGTTGACTCGCCGTGGCGGGATAATGCGCCGCCGCCGTGCCTGCCGGTCGCCCATCGGAGAGGCCCCCCAGTCGGCGCCATGTCCCCCCCAGCCTCGGCGGCCGCGGCCAGCAGCAGCGAAAGAGGCAGCAGCACCTCAGTGCCTCAGGAGGAGGCGGAGGGAGTCCGAGAGGAGGTGAGGAGGACGGAGCAGAGGTGGCTGCTCTCGCCGGGCGGCCCGTAGCAAAACACGTTGTTAACCATTTGCATGTGACGGTTTTGCATGACACGCTCGTTGCATCGTGTTGTGGTTCCCTCCGCTTCGACGGAGGGGTTGCTTTGCAACCCCGGCGGTAACTGGGCCGGCGTTTTGCATACACAGGTACGCAATCTTCCGCTTGCACTGCTGCCCTCCGTGCCTCCCTGTCCGCTCCTTCTGCAGCGGACATTCCTGCGACCGCAGCAGGACGTCTCGGTTTTCCCACGTAGTCCCGGGAGAAACAAGGTGATTCTTCTCGCCTTTCTCTCAGATTCTGTGTAAGTTGCCCTGAATGTTATGCCCCCGGGGCCCTAGTACCTATGGACCAAAGTATTCATTTCATCTCTAAACCGGTCTAATAATGATGACCGTAGTATCCTACCCCTTTCTGTCTTTTAAGAACGGCCTCACCGATTAAGTTATCTATTTGTGAGCTAAAAGGGAGGTTTCTATAGCTACAATGCATCCCTAAGAGGAAATTGGATATTTTCATTGGATTAATCTTGAACTTAGTAATAGGATTTAATGAGGCTGGATAAATTCATCTAAGGGAGAACAGTGCCACGTATGACTTGGGGTAAAACAGTGCAGTTCCATTTTTATATATTCTGTCTCGAAAAGGTGGCCGAAATTCGTTAAGGAGTAAACATCTAAAATTGGCTGTGAGGTAATGGTTTCTTCCCGAGGACAAATGAAGCATCCAAGGATAGTGAGTTACATGGCAACAAAACAAAGTAGAGGAGGCATACCGTGGAAAATGGCTTCACATATTTCACTGTTGTTTATACCAGTAGTTTCACATTTACATGTAGAATTAAGCTATTTTGCTGCTCTGTGAATTTGTCACAAATATTGGTGACTCACTTCAGTTAATGTTGACTGCAGAGCCTAACTCTTAACAATCTTTCAGCAAATGTGATACTTTTTCAGTTAAAGCTCGGTGTTAACATAAATGCTAAATGGAAAACACAACATTCATTATATGATGAATAAACCTTGGGGATAAGCTAAACCCAGGAAGAAAAATGGCTAGCTAGGAAGTAAAGAAGATGGTTGCCTTGAATGGATCCATATGTTAGTTTTGGATAAAGACAACAAGGCTTTTCTGATTACATCTCCTGAGACAATTGGGTTGCATCCGGGACCTTTTACGTGCAAAGCCAGTGCTCTGGCACTAAGCCTCTTTCTTGTTTTTTTTTTTTTTTTTTGCCTTGAACTTTTCCTTTCTTTCAGAGCATCAGGATAAGGTTGTAACAAGATAGGTTGCAGATGGAAATAGCAGATGCAGTGGATGCTTTTTGGCAAACCTGACACAGAATCTGACTGCAAAGGATCAGCTCCAAATGACATAAATTCCAACATTCTTTCATTTAGTGAAGTATAGGAAAGAAGCCTATACAGATGCTATCTTTGGCATGCTTTTCTCCATAGCACAGTTAGTTGTGGTATCTCTTGTATGTCTGTGCACACACTTGGGTACACCCACTTGTGCATTGGGCTAGTAGTGCTATGTCGTTTACTGATGATCTGTCACGTCATTTTGGGGGGGGGCAAAGAAAAAAGTGAAATTCTCTCATTGACTTCCAACATTTTGAAACATTCTTATGACTCTCTTGTAGTCTTAGTTACAGTGCTCTAACTCAGAGGTCCCCAACCTTTTGGGCACCAGGGACTGGTTCCATGGAGAGAGGTTTTTCCGTGGACTGGAAGGTGCATGATTTTGTGTGCTGCCTGCATGCCGCGGATGGGACTTGTTTGTGCAGTCTGGTTGCTGGCATGCTGCGGCCCGGTACTGGTCCACGGACTAGGGATTGGGGACCGCTGATCTAACTAGTATTTCCCTTATACATTTATGGATAATTCTAAATAGTTTTCTACTCTTGTGACAAAAACGAAGTACAAAAGAAGGAAGGAAATGGAGAAACAGTATGTAAAATATGAAATAATTTTAATCCAATCCAGACTTTACTCTAAAAATGAAAAGGAATAAAGAATTTTGAGGGATTAACTGGAAAGCATCTTCTCATGGCACAAGAGAATTCTGTGAATGTAAGTGAATGAGTTTGGCATGTAAGGCATCAGACTAGAAACCAGGAGATCATAAGTTCTAGTCTCACCTTGGGCCAGTCACTTTTTCTCAGCCCTAGGAAGAAGACAATGGCAACTACTTCCGCAAAACCTTGCAAATAAAACTGCAGGGATTTTTCTAAGTAGTCTCCAACAATTGGACATGATTGCACGGAAGGAAAAAAAAGATAAAATCTGAGAAAGGAAGGACAGGAAAAATATTGTATTGACTATTTGTCAATTAACTATTTGTTTTTCAACCTTTCATTTTAATAGTATGATTTCATATAGACTTGGGTATTACTAAGTCCATTTAACTAATTTATGTGTCCATATGTCTTGCATAGGATTGGGTTAGAAGTTATGACCTTGCAGATAGGAACACTGCTTCCTCTCCACCATAAAATTATTTATATTTAAGTGTGTGTGTGTGTGTGTGTGTGTGTGTGAAAATCAATGCAGACCAAAAAATGTAAATAGATGAAAACCAATTTTAAATTGTGAGATCATTTTGTAATAGTAAATTAATGTTTATCCTGGGCTGAAGCTAGGTCTTAACCAAAACGATGTGACTGTATCAAATCTTCAAGGAGAAAATTGCCCATTTGGGGAGCGTTACTTCTGAATCAGTGTTGATTCCTGGCAATTGTCTGGATGAGTCCCTGTAGGCTTCTTGGCAAGATATCAGAAGTGTTTTGAGCTTTCCTGCTTCCTATGGTTGAGAGACAGCCTAAGGCAAGACTACAATTCACAGTCTCATGGCTTCTAGCCCAGGGGTCTCCAACCCCTGGTCCGTGACATGCCAGCAACTCGTCCGCACAAAAAAGCAAAGTTCCATCCTTGAGATGCAGGCAACACACAAAACCACGCACTCTCTGGTCCGTGGAAAAATTTTTCTCCACAGAACCAGTCCCTGGTGCCGAAAAGGTTGGGGACCTCTGTTCTAACCTGATGCCTCAATGATATTTAACTACTATATCAACTTCTTTTTTACTTATTCTACCACCACAAAATCCAACCACCCATGGATAGATTCCTAGTGGAATGTACTTTCACTTTCTATAGGAATTCAAAAACTGATGAATTTTTGGATTTAAACCTCTCTGGATTTGCAGTTTATAGACAACATACAGCAGGTTTACAATTCTTAGTTAATGTGCTTCAGGCTGGTATCATGGTTGGACTACGAGAAAATACTATAATGTTTTGTTTTGCCATGTTTTCCCTGTGGAAAACTGCATATAGGCCTGACAGCGTGGATATAAATGTGGGTCATGCTGATATAAAAGAAAGGAATTTGTTTAAGAGAAAGAGCTAGCCTTCTCAAAGGCACCGCTGTCGGTTCCTATAAAGAGGAAAAAAGGAACGTGTCCTTACTTAAATGTAAGATAGCACAAGAAAATATAGCTCAAGTGCTGATTGGCTTCCATTATACTAAGAATGGATTTCAGGACAGAAGATAACTATCTTGCTGTATGCATGCTTACACGCTTGGAGGGATTAGGCTGAGGGCAGAGCTTTGCTACCACATATCTGTTCAAGGATGGAGTTAATGTGCTGACAGAAAAACCTACTCAGCATTTGGGTAGATGAGTTCTAAGAGCCTTGCAACTATTTTGGGTAAAACTATTCTCTTCTAGTCAACCATGTTGTGATTGTGGATTAATGAGAGGTTAGCCTAAACAAGGCTTCTAAGGGCTGGCCATTTTTTTTTCTTTTCACCCCATTTCCCCTCCCAGACAAGTAAACCTCCCACCAACCCACCTTATAGTGACTCTGAGCCAGGCAGGGCCAATGCTGTTTTTTGTAATTTGTGTCTCTGTGGTGTGTATGTGTTTTTCCCAAAAAAATTTTTAAGCCGGCCTATGCAAAGGAAACCGGAATATAATCAAAATATGGTTGCTCTTAATGTAACCAGGTCAACTTTATATTTAGCCTTGCTTTATCAAATCAATCATTTATCCAGGTATAGCAGCATTCTAGTTTATTTATATCATGCTCATACACCTGTGAGTTCTTTAGCTTATCTTCTAGTTGGAGGAACATGGGGGTAGAAACCACAATAATGTTGGAATTAAAGCTATATTGAGTTCATGACTCTACACAGAAGGCTAGGAATAATAAATAAGTTGAGAGGAGTTACTGTTACAGTAACCTGTATCTGTACAGCACAAGAGAAAACTGATCTTTTGTTTATAAGTGTTCTCATTTTCATTAGACTTTACAGAAAAACCTGCTTAATTCAATGTAGATAGTAACTAGGGCTTCTAGTCTCTTGTGAGAAAAAAACTAAAGATAAAAATAATTTCAGGAAACTGGGAAGTAGAAAAATGAACCTGACAAAAGTTCCTGTCACTTTGCTGGCCTAGGGAGATACCTTGTATTGCCAATTGTTATAAATGACACTGCCTTTTTCAGGAGCCTCCATGTTGTTGCTTAAATCAGATAAATACTGCAGAAGGATTACTACTCTTAATCATATTATTTGCACACACCAGATCAAAACAAATAAATTCAAATTGCTAGTCCATTATATCTTTTACCTACTGGTTAACAAACTTCATATAGTGATAACACTGATTTTGCTTTTGTTTGTAAGTCTTTCCTTAGGCTAATAAGAAATTCAGCTATATTTTTTTTTCAAAATTCCTTCTAGTGCTCAGATATTATCAAGGCAAAACCAAAAGCTGAAAATTGGAATTTAGGAAACCATTTTATACCAAATCAAGGTATTAGTCCACTTGGCCCTGTCTATTTTATACTATGCCTTGGACTCCAGAAGATGGTAGAGGACAGGAAGACCTGGAGGAACGTTGTCCATGGGGTCGCGATGGGTCGGACAGGACTTCGCAACTAACAACAAAATACTA